GTTGCAGAGGAAATAAAAGGAGACAGGAAAAAGGTGTCACGGTCACAGTCACCCATCATGTGGTCTGACAACATCCCTCCCAAACCTAATCCTCCTTTTGACCACATTGGCCGAGAAAAAAAGAAAGAAAAAAAAAACAGACAATACCACACCAAGTGTTTATATTCTGATGTCGCCATAGTGTCTGCACTGTTAGCTGGGAGGGTGACTAATAATCTGCACAGCACTATAATTTTGTTGAACTTTGTATGAATTAAGCAGACTTGTGTGCATCAAAGCGAAGGGAAGTAATTAGGTCTGAGCGGCTTCTTTGTTGAGTCTACACGAACATCAGGGTTCTCATTTAGTTCCACTTTATTGTTATAACAACTTTACTACACTGGATTTACTCACCTGTCGCAGCAAAATATCTGGGTCGATTTTAAGCGTTTTGAATCATTCTAGCAGTGATTTTTTTCCCATGTTTCTATAAAAACATAACTTCTCAATGTGCTCTCTGATGTTGTTTGTTGAAACCAATTACAAACTATGGATTCCAGTTACACTGATGATTTCATAACTTCTAATGAGACACAACAGGCAGTTTAAATTTTAGCCATAAACACCAATTGTCTCTTAATTAAATGGAACCTTGTGATTTTCAGACTTATGTATTTATTTATTTTTGGCCCATTTACACTTCCTGCATCCGTTTTGCTTTCGAGTGACTGGACCAATTGGAACACAACGAAAACTGATAAAAAAAAAAACCAAGTAAAAATATCTTAAAGTAAAAGGATTTGCCTTTTTCTGAACATGTGAATAATATGATCTGCCGATTAATTTAGTGTTTTTGCCCTTAAAACAAGATAAATAAATGTTGGCGATGTGGAATCAGATAATAGATTTTTTTTCTTATTTAAATTATAATTACCTTTTAAAAAAAAACAAGGAAATGACACTTTTTAACAACAACTGAGAAAAGAGGGAAATCTAATGGAAGACCTATTACGCCTATCTTTGGAAGTAAAGTCCAAATATGTTGCGTTCTTGGTCAATGTTTAGTTTATACCTTAGAAATAAATAAAGAGGGATTCAAACATTTAGTGTGCGAAGTTAGCATCTGTATGCTTTAGGGATGGAACGGTTTATGAAAACCGTCTGAACCGTTCGGTTCGACTGTCTCGGTTCAGTTTGCGTGTGTGTTGCGTTCGGTTCATGCGCTGCTCCTTTTCCTCATAGGCGAAGCGTTTACACTCCAGAGCAGAAGGTGGCGGTACTGCGACCAAAGCCAACCACCAGTAGTAAACAAGAAGAAGCGAAGCAGCGTAGCCGGGTGTAGCAGAAAAAAATCAGTTGTTGTGGAGAATTGTGTGGGTATAGCGAGTGGGAAAGAACAGGAGTTGGAAGACGCGCCAGCAGCACTTTATAGGTCTGCTGTATGGGACCACTTTGCATTTAGAGTGACCTACGATGACGGCGGAAAGAAAGTTGTGGATAAAAGTGCAACAGTGTGCAAGCACTGTGCAACACGTTTTGTTTATGCTAACAGCAACACGACCAACATGTCAGGCTAACAATCAACATATACCGAACCGAACCGTGGATTTTGTGAACCGTTCCACCCCAGTATGCTTATATGATTGCACAGATTACAGAATTTATATCATTTTATAAAAAAGAAGACTGTTCTGATGCCTCCGCTAGATCCTCTGGAAATTATTTTACAGAGACTCAACTTAATAAAGGAACTCTGAGCATCCCTTTATTGGACAGGGTGTCTTCAGTCAGAGGCTACTCTACACCCACTGTAAGACGGACCACTACAGGAGATCTGTCCTTCCTACATCTTGGTAAACTGCTATCATATGAGTTGCAACAAAATTAAATTCATTTGGCATCAATCAAGTAATTTTGAGTTGAACTGAATGATAGAAGCCAACTATGAGTCTGATCTTTGGTAGATTACTAGTTCCAAAACCATCATACCACACTGCTTAAACTTCTGATATCAAGAAACCAGAGGAAGTGCTGCGGTAACCGGAGATTTCTCAGTTTTTTTGTTTTGAGAATGATCCCCACAGCCGGCACTCTAGGTCTCTGATCAAGACCCTTAACCCCACACTGCTCCCCAGGCGCTGCACAGTGGCGGCCCACAGCTCCTAAAGGAGCCCCATCTATAACTCTTGATAGAAAAAAAAAAAGATCTACAACTATGATCAGCGATGTTTGAGGGAGAAGTTATTTTAGCAGCTGATTGCAGGGCTGCCACTGAGCAGATAGCTTGACTAATTAACCAGCATTTATACTGTTCCTTGGTTTTCTGTATATATTTAATTTCTTAAATTTATGAGTAATTTTTCTGTGTTTAATTTCATGTTTTGTCAATATTTTGTACTTTTTTTATAATAAAAAAAACAAAAAACAAAAACAAAAAAAACAGCATTTTTTATACTGGTATTATGGTATAACAACATTCTTTAAAAAAAAACACTTAGTAGGTAGCAGATCTTTGTTCTATACATCTACGTCTGCAGGAGAAACAACTGCTAACTTTTAAAGTTAAATCAAAACATAAAATATTCTAAGGTTTGATTGAAAGTTTTTGTATTTATACATTTATGTGAAACTAATACTAGTTAAACTACTTCTACAACAGGAAAACCTGTTGAAAAGAAAAGCTAGGGTTATTAAAGCTGCATAGATTAAACGTCTGTAGTAATAAAAAAAAACAAAGAGCAATGAGAAAAAAATTGAATTAAGTTATTAAATGTCCAATATTTCTATCTCTCTGGTTGTTTTACATAAAGCAGTTAAAATCTCTTAGTGAATGCATGGCCTCTGAAACATCATAGACCTCAACACATCCCCTCCAAGCTTTACTTTGCTATTATACAAATTGAAATTGATAAAGACCGTGATACAGTTTACTGATTTTAAGGCCTACTTTAAAAAAAGCTGCCATAGTGTCTGTGTTTGCTTTGACCTTAAATGTTAGCTATACGTTCTAGAAAATTTTAATTTTTTTCCCCCTTTGGGATTAATAAAGTATTTTTTTTATCTGAATTTCAACTTGGAGAGTAAAGTTGTTATTAAAGTAGATTAATAAACATCCCATGTCAAAATGATTGATGCTTCCGGTTATTTCTAATCGAGCCCCTTTACAGCGAGCTGCTAAAACATATTTGCAAACAACCTACATCCATTTCCATAAGGCAGGAGTCAAAGACCCAGAGAGATAACAGGAACTTTGTTGTCTTTATGTAAAACATGCTACTCACACTTCTCTTTTTTTATGTAAGACATCCCTAAAGCAATTTGCAAGTGCGTCAATGTGGTGACAAACATTTTGCATACTGCGTGCATATGAATAAACAAGCTGCAGATAGAGCAGTTATGGAGAAGTGTGGAGGAGAGGAATCAAATCGGTCCAGAGTCCAACTGTTGTTCTGCAGGTTCATCAACATCTACTGTGAAAAAATTATTGTTCTATTGTGTTTCTGAGTGAAGATATTACAAATTTAAACCACAGAAGGACAAATTAAATTTAATCTAATTATTTTGTTCTTGAAAAAATTAAAAAAGAAGCTTTCCAAACACACAGGGTTTCAGTGTGATCACATTTCTGCTTTCAGAGACCGGAACCCAAAGCTTGGACAGAAAGCTCCAGCCTACCTTGTTTGAGGCCATGTCGCTGACGGACCGGTAGGTCTGAATGGTCTCCAGCTGGTCCAGACACCAGTCCAGCTCCTCCATCGTCTCCATGGCCAGCTTCTGGTAGGACTCATCTGCCAACAGACACACGGACACGTAATCAGGTCCCAGCGGATCCATGGCCACGGCTGAGCCTGTCGACATCGCGCGCGGCGCCCCGAGGGTCCCAGAGTGCCCTGATCGCATGGGGGGCTGGCATGAAGGACATCCGGAAGACGTAGAGGAAGAGGGGGAGGGGTGCACACAGAGCTCCTTCATCTTTGCAACGCTCTCAGAAAGTTCAGGGAAGTTGGGTTTAGAGACAGACTGAGCGTAGAGGTTTCAATGTGCAGCCTCATTCTCAGCGTACCCCTTCTTTCCCCCTCGCGCTAGTGAACTCTGCAGACCCCCCTCCCACTCTGTCTGGTTCCCCCACCCCTTCTCAGGCAGCCTCTCATTAACTTCTTCCCTTTTCACTCCTATTCGTCTAAACAAGTGGCGTGAAAGCTAAGGAGACCACTGCCTCCTACTGCCAGTGCGTAAGAGACCCCCCACCATCTAACCACATAGGACAGTGACCCTGTGTATCTTTCCTCTCCAAAGGAGGGGCTTTACATTAAAGAAACACTTTCACTTCTTTTTAACTCCAACTATGTGGTCTCTTGTGTTTTGTTCTTTACACCATTGTGGGTGATAAGTGTAGTAGTGCTTTGCTGCTCTGCTTCAAAGAAAAATGACCCCGTTTCTCCGTCTCTCTTCCCTTCTGAAACACGAGGTTGTACTGTTAACTGGCTCAGCTGCAGCCCACGCCACCATGCCTCATAAATGGCCTCTCTCCTCTCAAATCCTCTGAAAGGAAGGAAAAAATTTATATCAAACGCTAACAGTTGTTTGCACAAGCAACATGAGAGGCACTTTTTTTACTCCCCAAACTGGGGGAAGTCAGGCCAGAGTCTTACTCCTGCCAAAGAAACCAAAGCACTTCCTCTTTGGCTCTGAACCTTTTGCAAAACATGGAGCAGATCTGCTAATGAAAACCCAGGATCGATGTTGTTCGAGTTAACAGCCGTGCCTTTTTCTTTACCACTGATGACTCACATCTGCTGGGAGCGTGGGTATTTAGAGGGAAAAGACCGGTTTAGAAGAAATAAGATGTGCACATATGAGGAAACAAAGAGGAGACAATTTTTCCTCTGAAATACAGAGGATTTCTGCCAGCAGGGAGGGGCTATTGAATGCATCTGGATCTCCCCACCTTCCCCCCCTTTTTTTATGGAAAAGACTGATCTCTGCTTCATAGGGCTTCACACATGGAAGAAATTTAGGCCATATGCTTAACCTAACAAGACAGCCAGCGTGCTGCTCTCCAATTTACGTCAATATAGCAGATCAAAGCCCTTCAAACAGTGATGGCGTACAGATTTCTAACCGCCTCTTTTTAACAAAGAAGGGTAAAAAAGCCTCAGACATGAACGCCGCAGCTGAGGATACCGCCCACTTTTAACTGTGATCAGAACCAGATGATGAGAATAATTTCTCTAAACAATACAGAAAGGGAAATTTTAGCTGTTTAAGGTCATCCGTAGTTTTCTAAAAAATCATGCCACAGTTATAACTAACTTCAGAACGCTTGCTTTGGTTTTTCTCAGAGGCCTCAGAGAACCTGAAAACTCGTTTACAAGGGGAAGCCAAGTTTGTGGTTCAAAGTAGTCGGAGGAACCACTGGTTCATTGAGCCGAAACCTTTAGACACAGAATAGAAAGTGACAGCTCTTACACCAGCTTCCTACTTTGCCCCTCATCTTGGTTTTAAGCTGCTTGTACTAAAGAAGAGTCGATTGTTCTTTCTGAATTGTCAGCGAGCTTCAGGCATGGTTATTAATTCTCTGTGTGTCTATGTTGAATAGACAGTATGTCTAGGGTGCATTCCAACTATTGATGGCTGTTAAAGAGTTGAGCCATCGAGCCAAAAACAAGCATAGAAGTTGCTCTTTTTAACCCTCTGCTTTGTAGCCTTGATGTCATTGTAACCCCTTGGGTTAAAAATCAAACTCAGTAAGCATAGCGAAGCTGAGAGCCAACCATACTGGGTCACATTTACACATGGTTTATCAAAATGATTTAAAATTAGATATTTCACACAGGAGTGTAGAAAGGACAGTTTTAAGTGGGTCAACTGGCTGAGAAACAGAACAGAATCAAAGCCATTATAGCCATGCTGTTTGTTCACTTTGAACACCCTGTTATGGAATAGCGACCTGGCAGGGTGTACCCTGCCTCTCGCCCAGTAACCGATGGAGATAGGCATCAGCCTAGTGACTCTGCTTTCATAAGAAGGGATGATGGATGGTAGCCTCGTGAGACCATCCTGATCTTGCGAGCTTTCAAGGTTTCACTCGCAGATCAGTCTGGCTACTCTCCGTTAAAGAAAATTTGGAGCCGTTCACCAAACGAACGTCCAATCAGCGTTGGCTTTGAGGCGGGTTGAGGTGACGCAACGAGAAG